GAGACCACCTTTGTCTTCTCACATGTTTGTAGGCAGAATGAGAAAGCACCTTCCCCAATGTCTGAATGCAGCATAGGAAAGCACAAGCTTGAGAACAACCAGTGCAGTCCTTGGAAGTTATCTGTCCACAAAAAACATATCTTGTCCTCGAAGACGAGTCAAGACTCCTCACTCTGAAAATAGGGAAAACTTGAAGATGTGTAGAAACACCGCCCCTGCTTCTAGCAATGCCCTTCCCCCACTTGCCGATATGGCAGGAATAGAGAACAAAAAACACTGTTTACGCATTCCATAAGCAACTAACTGGAGCCCTGCTATAGCTCAGTTGGTAGAGCATAGGACTTTTAACCTCAGAGTCGTGAGTTCAAGCCCAACTAGAGCGGCAGAAGCAAGCAGCTGGGCTACTGGCTAGCGACGTGTGGGAGGGTCAGCCCTCCCAGTTCTTTCTATCTTTCTTTGTTTTCTTCGCCCCCCTTCCGCATTTCAGGACCTGCTCGACTAGGCGCAGCTGGACCGCGTCACTCCCCCACAGACTGAGCCAGAACCCTTTAGTCCCCCTCAGACTTGGTCAAGAGGGCCTCCCAAAATTATCACCCCCCCTCCATGACGTAGCTTAGACAGACTCACTCAAGACCTATTACAGTATACCACCCTTGACCCAGAAATGCCTGACAGAAGACATGTCCTTATGAAATACTTCCTAGCACAAAGCAACCCCGACATTAAAGCTAAACTCAAAAAGTTAAAACAGGGTCCCGCTACCCTACAGATTGAGATCCTAACAGTGGCCTTTAAAGTCTTCCATAACCGGGAAGAGGAGAAAGAATGCCGTAAACAAAAGGCTGATCAGGCAAATTTCCAAATGTTAGCCCAGCTGATAGAACCACAACCTGGGTGCCCCTCTACAAACAAGCCCCCCCTAAGAGCTTGTTTCAAGTGCGGAAAAGAAGGGCATTGGTCAAGGGCATCCCCCTCCCCCAGATCTCGTACCACCCCATGCCCCAGATGCCACAAAAAGGGCCACAGGGAGTCTGATTGCCCAACCACCCGAAGGGGAGGCTGGATGAACAACCCCCATCCTAAGCCCGCCGTAGTGAGGCTGGCAGAAGAAGACTGACGGAGCCCGGGAGCTTCTCGCCCGACCATTTCCATCACCAAACAGGAGCCCAGGGTTACTTTAATGGTAGACGGTCGCCCCATCTCCTTCCACGTAGATACAGGAGCCACCTTCTCAGTCTTGCAGGAATACCGGGGCCCTACCACACCTGCCGTTACTCCTATAGTCAGGGTAGGAAGTAAACAGATTTTCCCATTAAACTCCCCTCCCCTTTTATGCACAATCCAAGACAATCCCATACCTTTCTCCCACTCCTTCCTGGTTATGCCCCAGTGTCCCATCCCTTTACTAGGACGGGACATCCTTTCTCTCCT